ATTGTTAAGCGAAACCGCGTTAAATACCCGTGAAATTAACTCGGACGATCCGTGCGAGCGGGAACGCAAGAGCGAGCGTGCGCGCGCGCGCGCTCGGCACGCGATCGCTGATTGGCTCGAGGGTATCGCCTTTAAAGTGCCATTTAGAGGGCCTCGTTCTCCGCCGTCGGAACCATTGATTAATGACGTGTGTCCGCGATCGGGGTCTGTCCTTCCCCGCAGCTACCATTCCATGGAAAAGAAGTCTTCGAAATCTCGGCGGAGCCCCGCGGCATTCCGCTCCCATTCCGCTCACGTTCCGCTCGATGTTCTGCGATAATCGTCGCCTTTTTGACGAATTTGTGGCAGTTGCCATTCTAGGCCAATCAGTTTTTTTCTTTTTTCTTTTTTAATAGTCTGAACCGTATTGTAAAACACCGCGAAGTTGATTCGTTTCATGGAAGGAAGCTTCGAAAGTCAGTATCTTTCATAGTGAGTCAGTCTATCGCTAGACTGTTGAGCATCGGTAGATGAAGTAACAGATAATGATAAAAGAGTTTAAGGTTATCATAACTGTTAAACTCTTTTCTCTCGAGCATACTCGTCATAACAAAAAATATTACCATATTTAAAAAAATATATATAATATTAAAATATTACCACAAAATATTACATAAAATATTACCATACCACAACGAGTATAGTCCTCAAAAATAGCTAACTGGTTAAGAAGGATATTTACCTTGACATTCTCTATTAAAATATATATTTTATAAAAGTGTTGCATTTGAACAAAACCTGAAGGAATTGAAACATATGCAGTGTAATTACAGTAACTTACACAATTTACAAAGAGATTACAACAGCTAACAGGTTGGTAGCTTTCAAGAATAAAAATAAGGTTATCATAACTGTTATTTTTATTCTTGAAAGCCACCAATCTGTTAGCTGTTGCAATCTCTTTGGAAATTGTGTAAGTTACTTCAATTATACTGTATATGTTTCAATTCCTTCAGGTTTTGTTAAAATGCAACTCTTTCATAAAATATATGTTTTAATAAAGAATGTCAAGTTAGATATCTTCCTTAACCAGTTAGCTATTTTTGAGAACTATACTCGTCGTGAAAAAATGATAATATTTTATGTTACGATGAGTATACTCGACAAGAACAGCTAACTGATCAAAACACAAAATCAGTTCTAATTTTATTCCTGTTTCTCGCATTCGGTGCAGAAAATATTTATTTTACTCCGGCCTTTCATAATAATAATATTAATATTATAATATATAATAATAATAATCTTAACGTTCTCGATCAATCGAAACGAGAATTAATGTCTAGACCTAAACAGTTTCTGGTAAACAACGCGTTAACGCAATTCAACGCTGATCATTCAACTTGTAGTTAAACAATTCTCAAACAGAAATATGTAAGCACAAATGAAAAGAAGTGGCGACGATCAGTTAACACAATATTCTCTTGCAAATTATGACTACAGTTTAGCACACAGATAACTAAACAGACAAGCAAACCAAAAATTAACTAAAGGTAAATGTGAACGCAAATGGCGAAAATAATCGTCGCGTCACGAAATCAAATAAAGAGGTTACAACTGATTATTAAAATGCTTGAACCACTATCTTCGAAGACGCAGAAAGCCTCGAAGGCGATCGACGGGAACAATGATGCTATAAAAAGAAGGAAAATCGGATGAAGATTCCGCAACGACGGATCGGAACGATCTCGAGCCATCGAGAGGGTTAACGCCTGGGTAAACAGCTCTACCGACACAAATATTGCTCGATGAAGCGAGAGGGAAGGAGAGAGATAATGAGGGATGGGGAGAGAAGGGGAGCCTCGTTTACCACGGTCGCAAAGCAGCAGCGCAAACCTGTCGCATCGCGTCCTTTTCATTTCTCTGACCGGCACCGCGCGGTAGCAATTCCATCTCGTGGGCAAGTCCGTTCGCCGGGATACTCGTGAAATCCGTGGGCGGACATTAGGGTGATGGCGCGGACATATGGGTGCGCCATGTGGCCACCACCGTGTATCGTTTCGACCAGAACCCCCTAGCGAAAGGCGACCGCAGAAGAGGTGACGGGGGCACGGAAGAGACCGCAGATACGAACAGGATCCGATCCGATCCGATCCGATCCGACGCTAAACGCTCGCCGCAATTTGTAGCAATTTGTTAAGTAGCCGGCCGGAACATTACCTATATTGCGTTTACTCCCCTTCACCGGAAGATATACGGGGCGGGAGGGGGGACACCGGCAGATTTATCGTTCCCGCGGACGGGATGGATCGGAGGAGAGCGGCCACGCAACCTCGGGTCACGATCAATTCCTGAGAGGCGATAAACGTCCCGCGAATGTCCCTTCGAATTACCAAAGACAACTGACCCAGAACCTCGCCAAAGAACGAGGAGATTCTGACGGTTTTAGGGTACCTGTGTATAGGGTTGTCTTTTATAAAATCGCGAACCCAGGACAGAAGGTATACAAATCTTCCGGACTTTCCCAGCTGAAAGCCGCTCACGTTCAACTATTTTTCAAACTAGATATGATACCAAAGAAATTATGATACCAAATTATAAACGGTAATCACAATCAAGGAATAATAGTACCTAAAATAAATAGTTGCAAGTAAACGAGATAATGAGAGAAAGTTATGAAACTGATTATTTTACATGTTTTTGACTGCTAAAATATTCTTAAGCTAGTTATTGACATACAGCTAAAATAAAATAAAATTTTGAATTACTTTTTCTTGTTTTATCCATCAAGAAGGAAAACTTGGACAAATGGCGGTCCCATTCGCGCATTAGTTCGTAGAAAAGATAGGTGCGCGTTAGATCATCTTTGAGAATTTATTACTGGAAAACCGAATGAGCTAGAGCTAGAAATCGTTTTGCAATATATTCGAACATGATTCGATGTCGTAGACGAATTTTTAATGACCGCTAGCTTCTCTGGTTTTTACTATAGGCGACGCCGATTGGCTTGTTGAAATTGATCTGTAATTTCGAACGATTGAAATTACTAGAAATCAGACAATGCTAGTTGCAGTCAATGACATTAAATGCGGAGTGCGGCCAACATTTGTAATACGACACTGAATCGAGTCGAAATAGATTGCAAAATGTCTTTTGGCTCTACGTCGTTTAATTATTCTGCAATAAGTTCCTAGATATGATCTATTTCTTGATTAATTTACCAGAAAGACGGTACGCCGTTCTAGAAATGTTTCGATTGATTGCAAACATTTCGAATGGACTCTTAATCATTTTTAAAGTCGCGCAAAGTTCACTTCTAAATCAGAGACCCAAATGAATAAATTAATCTCCGAAATTCCACCAAAATCGATTCTCCCGAGCAGAACTCGAGCGAGGCGAGTCCGTCAGTTCAGAAACAACATCACATATAATTAGACAATCGAAGCTCCGAAAAAGCAGGAGGAGCAACCTCGAGGAGCAACAGCAATCAACTACAGAAGGGTAGAGTTTGAGAAGAGTTTGCACGATGTCGAACGGATCGTGTCGGTCTAATTCGATAAATTTTCTTTTAGCTTGGCCTTTTTTATCGAGCCGGTGTCCTCGATGAGCAGGGAATAAGCTGCGCGCGGGAAAGCGCCATCCGCTAAGAGGAAGGAAGAGTCAAAGAGAGAAAGAAAGAAAGAAAGAAAGAAAGGAGAAAAGAGTCGGAGAGCAAAAAGGAATCCAGTGTAAACTGGGAAGACTGGAGAATCGAGGTTGGTGCTCGCAGACAATTTGAATCGTAGGTAAACTCGTCGAGGGAACTCGTTTTATCCCCGGGGCCGAGGTTATCGAAGTCTCCGGTGCTCTTTGGCGAGAGAGGACCGTCGGTCTGGGCTCTCTCTCCTCGGCTCTCCTCTTCACGACCGTCGAGACCCCGAAGAGGGCGACGAGATTTCAGAACGAGAGCGGAACGACGGTTTGGTCTTTCGTCGGATGCTTTTAGCCGATGAGTTTCGCTTCCCTGCATCCCGTTTCGCTTTCGTCTCGTTCTGTACCATCGCTGTTCTGGCCTAACCCGGCTCTCTCATCCATATGTAACAGTCGCCCTGGTATTAATGACAGGGGGAGAGAGAGACGGGAGAGACGCGACATGTTAGGTTCTTTACCCTAGAAGACTTCTCTCTTCTCATCTCTTCTCTTCGCTTCCCTTTTCCCTTCCGCCACGGTCCTCGTCTTCCTGCATTGCTCCGTTTCATCCGACGGACACGGGATATTGCGGTCCAACAGCGCCGACCACCTCTCTTCTTATCTGATTAATAGGCTGCGGAATTATTTGCTCGCCGTTTGTTCCGCCATTACACGCCGGTATCGGCAGCAGGTTATTAGCGAGAGGCCGGGCTCCGCGACTTCGTCTGCCGTTGTGCTTGTACCTTCGTTTTCCACGATCGTAACATTTTATTAATTCCTATGACGATCAATAAGATCGAAGTCGTCGTATGTTACACTTTTTTCCAGCCGGTTTTGTCGTTTTTCAACGAAGACACGAAGAACATCAGACACGAAGTAAGCTCCCAGGTATCTCGGTATTAATAAATCGCACACCATTAAGAGTAGAAGCTTCTACTAAAAGTAGAATTAATTTAGAAACCTCTTGAAACCCAGTAGAATAAAATGTATATTTGCAAGGATAAAGATAAACATTTTATAGTAAGTGTTGTTATCGAATATTGTAGAGCGCTTTTTCATTTTCATTACGGATGACGATCGCCATTCTTCATTCGGTCTATGTTATTTACAACATGTATTTATAATGTACATTCGTAACGTATACTTAGAGCGTATGTTTAAAATGTACACGTGCAATTTACATTTGTAGCTTACGAAGTCTTAAAAGATCTGAATTAAAGAGAGACAAAGGAAAGAACGCAGAACAGCCTCGAGAAAACGCATTCAGAATTTAGCCGACATTCCGCGAAACATTTCATAAGAATATCGCTGAAGATTTGCAGAGCGCAGCTATTTTTATTCTGTTTTTATTGCAGACCACGGAGGGTCATTCTGTCGGGACGAGGAGGAGTCAACGTGGACGGCGGAGGTAAGGCCCATAAATAACGGTGTAACGGTGAACCGAATATACGCGGCGCGTAATTGTACCGGCGAACAGAATCACGTACTACCAAGAGACACGCAGTTCGATCTCGAAATAAATATTCATAAACAGGCGGACGTTACATTATACTCCGCGTCTGTCTGCCTGGGCAAAAAAGAATTGGCGACATCCGTTGGTCGATTGTTTTTCGTGGAAGACGGTCCTCCACCCGATTAGTACCATTTATGACGATTTTACGGTTGGATAGGTAGGAATCGGTGTCTACCGTGAACATCAAATCCGCTTGCACAGAGAAAAATATTGGGCGGTTCGGAAAGTTCTGCGGGTTTCGTAGGAAATGGTTTGAGAATGAGACATTCGAACAATACGGTTTTGGTCAGTGACTTTTATCCGTTTTTTTTTGGTCAATGGAAAATTCCTGTTTTGTAAGAGCTTCCTCGTATATTGTGAAACAGTTCTCAAGATGTCTTCGAGACGCCATCACCAAAGATGGATTAATTGAAGGAGTCGTCTGTTTCCAACAATTTCACAACGCGAACCGTAAACTATGGTATATGGAAAAAGTATTTAAAACGGGAAATTTTAACAACGATTTGCTCTTCAATCGCTCGAGTAGGCGTTACAATTGACCCTAAATCAGTGTAAATACGAAAGACAGGACATCGACCACGTATTGTGGCAATGTTCGTTATTCGAAATTGGAAGAACCACCCTCTCTTCCATTGTCAAGCGTTTAACTTTGTAAACTCACAGCAGAGATTTGTAATGCAGTCTAGTCGTTCCAAAAAAGCTGTAAATTATCAGTGTAAAACATTGTAACTTCTCGACGAGTTTTTGTACACATACGCGATGTAATATAAAATAATCTCAAGAGAGATTAAAGTTAGTTGAAATAAAAAAAAACCACGAGACCTCACACACAATACTTGAAACATTTTAAATGCCATGAATGAAGTGCTGATGTAGTATCACAAGTATGCCTTTACAGCATTACTCTATCAATTTACTAAAATATAGTAATTACTAAAAAACGAAACAAAATTTTATTCTTCCGTCTAATTAATGAAAGTAAATGGAGACATACAAAAAACAAAATTGTCCGATTTTATGATTGAAAAACGACCAAACTCTTCGTTTCACAATCGCTATGTTTGCAAAGATGCTTTGCATATTTTGTAATAAAAATCGCGCAGTGTCTCGATAAATGCTGGTCACTTCTATTGCTCGATTGTTCCGCTATTAATTAAACTTAGAGCGCACCATAAAAATACCACCGTACAACAAGTAGCTTCAATCAAAGGAAATAAGATGAAACGAAATGGCAAAAAATCCCACGGCAGCACCGACTAGAATACAAGAACACCGCCGAAAGTGGAAAGTACCATTTTTCCCAGCGTGCAAGGGAAATGTTGAAAAGATTTCAAGAACCGCTGTTAGTCGCGTGTGAATGGTTTCGGCGGTCTTTGTGTCCAGCTCGGGGACACATGTCGGAATTAATCACAACGAGCAGCGGTGCAGGTTGAACGGATCGGAAGGACAGATCCTCGGGCACCGGGACAGATTTCCAGGCGTCCGTAAAGTGGTTGATAAAGTGGCAGCAATCGGTTAGGTCTTTTCGAGGCAGGCGCGACGACGGCCACTTTACCTGCAGCCCGGTGGCACTTGGACAGCCGTCGACAATGAGATGAAAAGACGGTAAAGAAGAGGAGAAAGAGAGAGTCGGAGGATCGCGTTTGTTCTTTTCGGCGTTGCTCATCCGTCGTCATCGGATACGCTCTCTCTCTCTCTCCCTCGACGTCATCTTCGAGGAATTTTCGTTCGTGTGTCCGACCATTTTTTCTCGTCCTCCGACCCGCCCGAAACTTGTCGCGTTACCTAATCGTCTTTTTAACAGGACGTTTCGATCTCGCAGGTGTCGGACGTCTCACTCGGATCCCGTGCCGCGTTCACGCTCCCTTGGGAGGTCCCGAATTAATATGCTCGCGCCATTTCAAACGAAACTCTTCAGAGGCGACTGGCATAAGGTCCCATTAACAGCTAAGTAGGATCGATTCGATCCGTGCGCCCGGTAAATGCTCCCAGCGCGGCAGTTAGTCCCGCGTAAATCGTCTCCGCTCGATCGTCCCTCTTCCTTCGTCGATCTCTCGCTCTCTGTCGCGTTTTTGCGTTAACCGTACAAATTACACGGGCCCCATATCCCCGAACGCTAGGCGGACAGAATGGCCCGTGCCCCGCGGGTTGATCGACGACGAGAGAACGAAGAGAGCGAGCAAGAGAGAGAGAGAGAGAAAGGGGACGAGTCAAGATTCGAACATGTGGCATCATTTGTTACGTGCAAAGTGGGGTCCGCCTGCGACCGGGCATGGGTTATCTAAGCTCGCTTTAACGCGCCCACGTAGCCGGAAAACCAATGGCGCGAAGGAACGGGGAATCAATGAACCATGTAAATGCGTCCGCACGTCATCGTGGCCCGGGCAAGGGTTCGTCGAGATCTCCTTTTAAACTCGCTTTCAAAGATATCGATACAGATCTCTCGGTTAAAAATCCTGCAACTGTGTACTGTTATTGTTGTGTACTGTGTACGAGTCTTGGACATTTGAAATTCTAAGCGAAAATCACCAAATTTTGTTTTACACTTTCATTCAATAGACGATTTGCACAGTGGAATTGTGAATGAAATAGATAGACAGCGACGTATGAAATATAGAACAAGGAAACGTATGAAATATAGCGACGTATTGAAACATGGAACAAGGTACAGGTGAATATTTATCCAGACGGTATGCTAGGCTTGTTTGAGGATGGTTTTTTGAGCAGATTGTCGGATCTTCATTAAAATTGTCTACAGCAAAAGACAAGATGTAGTCAGAGATATTTGTCCTGTCTTCACAGTGTACAAGTTTTGTTTAGGGTTTTAGACATTAATCTTTGTTCCGAATAATTAAATCTGCAGTATAACAATGACTCAGTATAACAATTGCTCTGCAGTATAACAATTCATACAGTTTTAGAGTATACTCTGCAGTATATACTCTGCTGTTATACTCTTTAGAGTATACTCTGCTGTTATACTCTTTAGAGTATACTCTGCTGTTATACTCTGCAGTATAACAATTCATACAGTTTTAGAGTAGCATTTCGATATAGAAGTATGTCTTTCTACAATAAATATCTTTCTATTGTAATACAAAATTGAGGATCCTCTATGCAAAATCGATACACGAAAAAGCTATCTATGAACAATTTTAAAATGAAATATGTGAAATCAGTCAATTTGACCGGTAGGTTTAGACAATCATATATCAACTAAGTAATTAATAAAAACAATAATAGTATTTTAGAAAGCTTTGTGTCAAGAAAAGAAGTATGTAGTTATGTCTAAGAATATATACTGTCAATTTATTAAATTAATTTTTCTTATAAATTAGCATATACTAAATTCTTTTCACCCATTCGCTACAATATAATATCATTCTTTTAGAAAAAAATTATTGAAAACATGTAACCTAACGAATTTAAATACAAATCTGGCGAAACATTGATTTCTTGATACATAAGTAAAGAAATTTTCTTTCGGGTGAAATATGATCTAGCATATCGAAAAATATTATCAAGGTTGCTTTTGTCCGATCACTAACCATTTAGTCATCCTACGGTTAATTAGCTAATGACGGTGTCATTTCTATCTGTCCAATCTATCATTCTGCTGAAGAATGGCCTCTGCTGAAGAAGACCTGTTAGCAGAGCAGCTTCGAAATGTACAAAAAAGTGAACCAGCCGAGGCAATCAGAGGCAATTAACAGAGAAGCAAAGGAGTACAGGTTGCACAGTTGTCGACGGGTACGTAGGTAAAACGACAGTGTTGCAGCGGAGCGCGTGGCATGGTGATGGGGACAGAGAGAAAGAGAGAGAGAGAGAGAGAGAGAGAGAGAGAGATCTCGGTTTCCGTGGACATATGGTCAGCCATGGCTCGCCGTGACAAAAAAAATGCGCTACAGAAACGGGCGACAGAAGTTGGGAGTGTCGGCGGACGATATATCAGGGCTTAAACTGTCCCGTCTAGGCGAGCATGTCCTACCAGCGTGGTCCTCCGCACCCTGGCTGACTGACTGCCAGGATGGTCGGGCTGGTTAGCTGGTTAGCTGGTTCGATGGTTCGCTGGTTGGCTGGTGCGCGCGTATGGCGTCGAGTCGCGTTCAACAGGGGTGCCCTGGCATTAGTTAATAGGGCCGGATCGGGGACGGCGTTAATGCCGAAGGGACAAAAAGAGAGAAAGAGGATCGCCCAGCGCCTCTGTCCGCAGGATAAAAGGTGCCAGTCTAACCGAATGCGGTTTCCAATCTGTTGAGTTTTTACGCCCCGAGGCCAATGGGGGAGGATTAGCGGCGCGATTCCGCCGATTCCGGGGAATCCTTTTCTCCCAGCCACCTGACCCTCTGCAAACGCTCGATCTAACGATTAGATCGCATGCGATTTTATGCGGGTCACGCTGTGCACTTCTACGGATTTTTAGTTTCCGAGGATTTCGGACGTGCACGATTGTCTTATCTCAAGCAGACCAAGCGCGCGTATCGTCGGGCACCTACCCTCGGTAAACCCCCATTTTCGGATTTTTGGGACACCCTGTATATGATTCCATTTGAAAAAAAAACATTAATGACCTCCATACGTCTTTTACGCGTCCACCTACAAAAACAAACGGCATCATCAGAATGTGCTCCACTCGAAATCAGTTAATTTCGCTCTGGAACATTTCTCGCATCATTAACCCTTAGCGCTCCGAAGGCTCCATTACGGAGACATTTGTCATTTGTCCGTACCATTACGATTAAACCATTTTTTGACCTTTTCTATGGTTAGTAACATGGAGAAAAATAAATATTATGATGAGAATTTAGAGTGATACCGAAGGCGTATTTGATTTTGAAGAGTTAAAAGACATTGTGGAAGACAATGTTGGTTATGATTCTGACACTTCGAGTAGT